AATCTGGTTTTATGTGACTTTTGACCTTCTCCTACAGGGGAAACAACTTCTCCCCTTCCCCCTGAGAATTGTGTATGTTTCAATAAGGTCACCCTCATTCTTCTAAATTCCGAGTACACACTCAACCGACTCAGCTTTTCCTCACAAAATCCCTCCATATCTGGAAGCAGCCAAGTGAACCTTCTCTGGAACAAAAACAAAGTTGCTGGAAAAGCTCAGCAGGTCTGGCAGCATCTGTGAAGGAGAAAACAGAGTTAACGTTTCGGGTCCAGTGACCCTTCCTCTGAACCTTCTCTGGGCTGCCTCCAATGTCAGAATATCTTTCTTTTGATAAGAGACCCAAAACTGCTTTCATCAGCTTTCTGCCTATCACATCTCTGTAGATGCTCCGCCAGTCTGGAGTAAGGGGTGGACCTATAGTCTAACTTTGCTGGCCAGATGTCAGAACTCATCCTCAAAAGTTGCTTAACATGTTCTGGCTCACCATTAGACTGTGGCACTGAACTGAGCTCATAACATGCTCAAAGTGATTGGAATATTTGCAAATGGTAGCTGATGTTTGAAATGACCACATCAAGGATGCTGTATGCTATAAAAAAAAATCTCAGGTAGGTCTCAGATAACTGCTTCCTTGCTGATGGTGTGTAAACTCTTAACCTGGATTCATTGGGAGAAATCACTGCTGGGTCAAAATTCTGGAATTCCCTCCCTAATGGCATCGTGGGTCAACCCACAGCAGGAGGACTGCAGCAGTTCAAGAATGCAGTTCACCCCCACCTTCCCAAGGGGCCACTAGGAACAGAGCAATAAATGCTGTCCCAGCCAGCGACACCCGCATCCCACAAAATGAATCCCACACAATGAAATTCCCATCGAAAACAGATCAACAGCACATATTCTCAGGGTCTGGTATATTTGGTGGGTATTAGCAGTTCTGTGTGCTCTTTGTTGCTCTTGCTGACCTAATTTAGTTCCCAGTCAATCAAGGTTTTAAAATGCTCATTTCTGTCTTCAAATCTCTCCATAAGAATGCAATTTACTCCAGCCCCCTGACCCTCTGGAGACACCTACAATCCAATAATTCTAGCCTTTTGAGCATCCCCAATTGCTTCACCATTGATGACACATCATCATTTGAGGAAGCTCCTAGTTCTAAATTCCCTCCATGACCCTCGGCACCTCTCACTATTTTGCTTACCACCTTTAGGACACATCTTAAAAGCTGAACCTTTGGCCAAGCTTTTGGTCATGTGACATCATCTCCTTTCATGACTCAGTGTCATGTTTTGTTTTACAATGCTCCTGTGAAACATCTGGAGATAAATTAATACGTGGAACATGCTATACAAATATGTGTTTTCAATGTTGTTCTTCGACCATACAGCAGTGGGCAAGTGTTATTAATAATTCTCGTTGCACTTAACACTTTGTTATTTGCTACATTATATCTCATAATAAAACAATAAGAAATAGGAACAGAAGTAAGTCATTTGGCCCCTCAAGCCTACTCTGCCATTCAATAGGACCATGGCCCTCAAGACATTCCTCACATCCACCTCCCTGCCCTTTCCCATTAACCCTCGATTCCCCGACTGATCAAGAACCTGTCTCAGCCTTAAATATACACAAGGGCTCTGCCTGCAAAGCGCTCTGTGGCAAGGATTTCCAAAGACCCTCAATGCTCAGAGAAGACATTCCTCCCCATCTCTGTCCTAAACTGGCACCCTTTTGTCCTGAGATTATGCCCTCTGGTCCCAAACTCATATTCACTTCCATGTGGACAAGTAGAACTGCCATTTCAGTCAATTCTGCCCAGTTAAATGCCAAAGTAAGTTTGTATTTAGAATTCTCTACAGGGATGTTCAGTCCTCATAACCAGCTCTGGGTCTGTTGGGGGAAATAAAAAAGAGTGAAATCTGGTCTTCCCCTTTGCAAACTGTTCAAACATGACCCAACCAAGAACTAGCCTGGTTGGTATCCATGCGAGGTGAGCAGGCTGAGATCATCATATGCTACCAGCTGAGGAGAACTAACTGGAGACTTTGGATGACAGGAAGCGCACTTGTTGTGAAGGTGAGGGCTTGTCGGTGAATTGTGGCTAAAATACAGTGGCCAACATTTATACAGCAGGTTCAGCCTCTTAAAGTGCCAGCAAAGCACTTCACAGCAGCAGCATCAAACTGAGCTGAATATTAAGCCAGATGAGAGGGAGAATGGTATACAGTGGATCCCTGATTTACAAACATCCAACTTACAAACATTCATACTTACAAATGCAATCTCATTCAGGGGTGTAACTTTAAAGATCCAACAGACGAACATTTCCTGTTTTCCATACGAACATTTTACAAACAGCTCCTTTTTATTGTCTTGCGCTATGTTACGACTGGCGAACAAGTTTACTTGCAGACGGACTCCAGAACAAAACCCAGTCGCAGCCCAGGGACTGCCTGGATAATAAGATAAAGAACTGCAGGATCTGAAACAAGAACTGAAATTTGTGGAGAAACTTAGCAAGGCTGGCAGCATCTGTGGGGAGAGAAACGGAGTTAAATAAAGGGTTACCAGACTCAAACTGCTAACAGTGTTTCTCTCCACACAGATGCTGTCAGCCTTGCTAAGTTTCTCCAGCAAAGTCTGTAGTTGAGATAGAGATGGCCAAAAGTTTGAACAAAGTGGATAGGTTAAAGGTGGAGAGTGAGTTAGGGCGACAGATCTAGAGATTCAGCAACTTGGCAGCTGAATGCAAGGTCATGGCGGGATTCAAAAATAAGGAGAAGAATGTTCAAGTTGAGGCATTGCCATAAGGGGAACCAATGCAGGTTAGTGACAGGCATTTGGTGTGAGTTAGTATATAGGCAGCAAAGTTTTAAAGTGAACTGACAATGTTCTCTGTTTAAATAAAATTGTAGGTCTAAATAATGTCGACAAAGGGAAATTTTAACCTCCATCCCATTAGAGTAGAATGGTCCCATGTTCTCTGAAGTTCAGTAGAACAGGAGATCTCGTTGACAAACAGGAGGCTGGAAGAACACAGCAGGCCAGGCAGCATTTTGAGGAAAGGAGCAGTCCGGGTATTACTCTTCCTTTATTTAATAGCTTTAAATTGAGGGGTGATAGATATAGGACAGATGTCAGAGGTAGGTTCTTTACTCAGAGAATAGTAAGGGCGTGGAATGCCCTGCCTGCAAAAATAGTAGACTCGCCAACTTTAAGGGCATTTAAATGGTCATTGGATAAACATATGGATGATAATGGAATAGTTTAGGTTAGATGGGCTTCAGATTGGTTTCACAGGTCGGCGCAACATCAAGGGCCGAAGGGCCTGTACTGCGCTGTAATGTTCTATGTTCTATGTTCCTGAAGAAGGGTAATACCCGAAACATCGACTGCTCCTTTCCTCCAGATGCTGCTTGGCTTGCTGTGTTCTTCCAGCCTCCTGTTTGTCTACCCAAGAGATTTCATTGAAACCTATAACATTATAAAAGCATTTGGCAATGGGAGTAGAGAGACTGATTCCACTGGTCAGTGTGTCTAGATTCACACTGAATGTCAGTCCCAGGATATGGGCTAAGCCACTTAGGACTGAGATGAGGAAAACTTACTCTATTATGAATCTTTGGAATTCATTACGCCCACAGAGCTAAAGATGTTCAGTTGTGGAATATATTCAAGATGGAAATCAATAGATCTTTGGATACATGGGGAAGCCTAGAAGGTATAGGAGTAGAAAAAAAAAGGCAATTCAGCCCTCTGAGTCTGCTCCACCATTCAATCATGGCTGGTCAAATCAAGTGATATGGGGAAAATGGAGAGAATGAGGAGTTGACGACTAGAATTAGGAATGATCAGATTAACTAGTGGAGCAGGTACAACGGACCCAATGGGCTGCTCCTTATTCTAAACACGTGTGATACAATTCAGAAGCACAATAAGTATTAATAAAGTTTCAACATACAATATGACATTCTTACACAGGAGGTGCAGGCAGCATTAGTCTCAATGGTCATCATCCGATCACAGCGTAGAGTAATAGGAATCATATTGGATCGATCTGATATAACTAGACTGACCAAAGATTAGAAAGAAACCATGACAACAGAAGAGTTGAATGGTACATCTTGTTTAAAGTCAAATGATCACTCAATCAGTTCGTGCTATTTTCTGGGAATTTTTCTGGGCAAGGGGATATGATCATGCTCAGGTAGGCCGGCGTTTATTGCCCAATCTTAACTGCCTTAAAGGCAACTTTCTCATTATGTGACATGCTTCTATATCATGGATACGTTAGAGCAGTCTATAACACTAAAAGGAGGAAACAATTTTGTATTCTATAAAATACGTGCTTTGTATTACATTAGCAGAAAATTCACAATAGATGATGTCTCATTGATTAAAAAAAATTCAAAGTCACCACTTTATTGAACTTCGCCATATGGAAATTGGAATTGAGAAGGTGGGGGAAATTCGAATATTACCTTGACAGATCTTTCAACCTCAATTTGGCTTCCACTTCGGGTGAACCATTATTAGGAAGTAATCACAACAGGAACCCTTTGAAGCTTGCTAAGGAATTTTGTGCATGGATTGTAGAACACCAGGCCAGCAATTAGACCACACAACCAAACATCAAAGTTGAGCAGCTGTCAAAGCAAACAGTTTCAACAGTTTAATCATTTTTGTTCTCTGACAACATGTAGAAGCCATTTTACTTTCAATACTTTTGTTCCAGCCAAGAAAAACGTCACGCTGTTATACTGGCAAGCCCTTATGTTGTCAAAGGAGAGTTGAAATAATCTGTAATCTTTGAAACACTTTGTCATTAGTCAAGGAGATTGATGTGCAAGATTACAAATCGAATAACAATAATCACAAAGGTATAATTAATCTTATCCAAAAGCTGAGAGATTTTCTAAGTTTGTTCTTTATAGACTTTCCAGACTTGGTACGGCTGGCTTAAAATAAGAAATCAAAATCATTATCCACCACCAGAAGCAAAATAATTAGCAAAGTATATATTTTTATTGAAATATGTAGAAAACATCCTACAAATAGATCAGAAATCAGATAAAGGCCATAGTTGTGAAACTGTCTAAACTTAGTTACACTTGCTAATGTACAAGATAACTTCACCATTATAGGCTTCAAAATTCATATTGCGTGTAAATGTGTCAAGAGGTTTACAGAGGACTAAAGAATTGCCGTGCTTTCTGCAGCATCACTGTCATACTGTTGTCCACACAAAGGAATCCTGTGTTTCCATTTCAAAAAAGCATTAAACAAATGGATATTGTCTACACCTTACATACCAACAATGGTGCTGCTAAGTATGGGGTCATTTATTCCTCAATTACAAGAATAAACTCAAATAATTCTCAAAAGGCATCAGTGCAGCAAAAGCAAGAAATACTCAGCACATATTGACCTAAGTAAAATAGTGATTAATACTGTGCGCAATAACATGTCCTGGTTTTCCATTCCTCTCCTTAAAGAAAGTGATGAGGTTATAAACTATTCATAACTGGCTGAAGGGTCTCCTAGTGGTCTTTGGTGACGATCACTGACATGTGTACAGTGATTGAGCTATCCGAAGTGCCCAGCACCTCCTGTGTTAGCTCGCTGAGTAACTTACAAGGCAAGCAAAAGTAGGTGTAACAAATTCAATGCCCTGTGCTCTGCCTGAATGTTATGCTTTCAGAGTTGGAGTCGGGTTTGACATAATGCGGGGTTGCTGTTTTCTCCAGCAGTTTTTTGTTCAGTTGCTCCATGCGACGGCTGTTCTTCTTCACCTGCCGCAGGGTGCGTTTCACTCTCTTAACCTTGTCCTTCAGCTGCCTGTTGCGGTTTTCCAGCATGGCAACTCTGTTGATCAATTTCTTCACCCGGTCTTCCTCTTCAAAAAGTGCCTTCTGCACCGTAGAACACATGAGCTGCAAAAGGAGCACAAGTTTAATGCTATTTCTTTATTTGTAATGTCTTTCTTGGCACTTAAAGAACTATATAACCGTGGTGGAACTCAACCTTCACAAATAATCAGTGCGCTGGAGTTTAGGAGAATGAGAGGTGATCTTATTGAAACATATATAATTCTTAGGGGGCTTGACAGGGTAGATGTGGAGAGGTTGTTACTCCTTTGTGGGAGAGTCTAGGACCAGATGGCATAACCTCAAATAAGGGGTCACATATTTAAGACAGAAATGAGGAGGAATTTCTTCTCTCAGAAAGTAGTGAATCTGTGGAATTCTTTACCGCAGAGGGCTGTTGAGACTGAGTTGTTCAGTATGTTCAAGGTATATTTAACCAGTAAGGGAATCAAGGGTTATGAAGAAAGTGGGGTCGAAGATTATAAAACCAGCTGTAGTCTCATTGAATGGCAGAGCAGATTTGACGGGCTAAATGGCCAACGTCAATTCCTACGTCTCGGGCTATGATCGTATAAACAAGGTCTAGAGTAGGCCACTTGCCTCATCGAGCCCGCACTGCCACTCAGTAAGATAGTGGCTAATCTAACTTTAACCTTACTTCCATAATTCCTTCATATCCCCAATAATCTTTCATCCCCTTGGAACTCAAGAATCTCTCTCCCTCTGCCTTCAAAATATTTAAAGATTCTGCATCCACTGCCTTTTGAGGAAGGGAACTCCTGGAGAAAGAAAATGCTTCCTCAACCATTTTAAATGGACACCGCCCCCCCCCTTATTTTTAAACAGTGACCCCAATTTTAGATTCTCCTAGAAGAAGAAACATCCTCTCCGTATCCACCCAGTCAAATCCCCTTCGGGTCTTACATGTTACATCTTACAAGAATAAACTCAAATAGTTCTCAAAAGGCATCAGTGCAGCAAAAGCAAGAAATACTCAGCACATATTGACCTAAGTAAAATAGTGATTAATAACATGTCCTGGTTTTCCATTCCTCTCCTTAAGGAAAGTGATGAGGTTATAAACTATTCATAACTGGCTGATGTTGATTGGTTCGCCGAGCTGACTGGTTTTCATGCAAACGTTTTGTCCCCCTTCCAGGTGACATCTTCAGCGCTGTGTGGCCTCCATTGAAGTGCTGTTGTTCTGTTCCGTTCTGAATTTACATGGTACGGTCTGTCATGGTGGGGAGTTCTGTTTCCGGTTTTGTTTCGTACTGGTATGTACATGGGATCTATTTCAGCATGTTTGTTTATGGTACCAACGGTTGAAAACCAGGCTTCCAGGAATTCTTGTGCTTGTCTTTCTTTTGCTTGTCCTAGTACAGTTACGTTGTCCCAGTTAAACTGATGCTCTGCTATGTTGGAGTGAATAGAAACGAGGGAGAGTTGGTTGTGCCTTTTTGCTGCAAGTTGGTGTTTGTCTACCCTGGTGACGAGTTTCCTGCCCATCTGTCCAATGTAATGCTTCTTGCAGTTGCTGCATGGTATTTGTAAATCACATTTGTCCTGCTCATTGTAGGTATGGGGCCTTTCATCTGTGAGAGTAACTGGCAAAGCGTGCCTGTTGGTTTTTGCGCTATCCTTATTCTAAGACACCACGAGAATTCCTGGAGGTCTGGTTTTCAACCACCAATACCATAAACAAACATGTTGAAATAGACCCCATCTACATACCACTACGGTACAAAACCGGAAACAGAATGACCCACCGTGACAGACCAGACCATATCAATTCAGATCGGGACAGAACAACAGTGCTTCAATGGAGGCTAGACAGCGCTGAAGATGTCACCTAGAAGGGGGACAAAATGTTTGCATGAAAACCAGTCAGCTCGACGAACCAATCAACATCTCCAGCCACAACCCGAGCTACAGATCTTCGCTAAAACATTAAGTCACCTCGGGCTGTTCTAAACTCCAGAGGACACAGGCCCAGCCTGTCTACCCTTTCCTCATCCGCTCATTTCAGGTATTAGTCTAGTAAACCTTCTCTGAATGTATTAACATCCTTCTGGAAGTATGGTGACCAGTCCTGTACACAGTACTTCAGGTGTGGTCTCACCAATGCCCTGTATACCTGAAGCATAACCTCCTTAACTCTTGCATTCCATTCACAATAAACCATAACATTCTATGAGCTTTCCTGATTACTTGCTGTACCTGCAGACTAACCACCTGTGGTTCATGCACAAAGACACCCAGATCCCTCTGCATCTCAGAGCTCTGCAACCTATCACCATTTAGAGAAATATGCTTTTTTTCATTCTTTCTGCCAAAATGAACAACTTCACACTTTTCCACATTGTATTCCATTTGCCAGACCTTCACCCACTCACTTAACCTATCGATGTCCTTTTGTAGTTTCCTTACATTCTTTCATAACTCACTTTCCTACCTATCTTTATGTAATCTGGGTCTTATGGATGTGGTCTGTCAGTCCATAAAGTTTATGTGTAATTCATGAAGCTGTGACACGTCAGCCACAAATGTAACAGTTATCACCTTCTGCTGCTGATCCTAGTTGGATCGTGTATTTCAAATCTAACAATGACAGATTTGTGCTAATCAAAGGTCCTAAAGGATGACTATGGGGCAAATGTAGATATATGGAAGGAGCAAATTACTGCAGATGCTGGAATCTGTACTGAAAACAACAAATGTTGGGGATCACAGTGGGTCAGACAGCATCCATGGAGAGACAGCAAGTTTGATTTCTCTCCATGGGTTGCAGATATATGGAGTTAGTTGGTACATCAGACATGATTTCACTGAATGGTGGATCAGGCCTGATGGGCCAAACAGCCTCCACTTTGTTCCTATTTTCCTTTCCCTTTTCACTTCAGATTTTCTCCTTCTTGTTGGCATATAAGAATCAAGCTTATTTTTGGCAATATTCTTGTATTGCCTCTTATTACATTTGTACCAAACTCTTCTACTATTACATGAAGGACCAAACCCATTTACCTTAAACAGGTTAACAATAGTTAAAATAGCAGAAAAGACTTTGATACAAGCTTGTTAACTATTCAAGAAATAAACACCACCTACAGTAATTTTAATCACCTTGTTTCTCCAGCATCTTCAAGCCACTAACTCACCAGAACTAGCCATTATTCTTTTTGTTTAATTCATTCACGGGATGAGGGCGTCGCTGGCTAAGCAGCATTTATTCCCCATCCCTAATTGCCCAGAGGATAGTTAAGAGTCAACCACATTGCTGTGGGTCTGGAGTCACATGTAGGCCAGACCAGGTAAGGATGGTAGTTTCTTTCCCTGAGGGGCGTTAGTGAACCAATGTGAACAAGAGCGATCATTAGGTTTCTCAACTAAGCAGTGGGGTGTGACAGCTAAATCATATCCTATCTTGACCTGACATGCGCTTACATGAGCTTTTACTGATGGCCACAGGTTAGAAATCTGAATTTCCAGGATTTGTTTTGCCTAACCCAGGGACCAAATTTTGTGCCCTTACCACTGCCTTGTGTGATCAACTAACCCAGCACAGATGGAGGATTCAACTTGGGATTGCATTGCATGACTAAACTACTCACTGCATCAACACATCCAGAGTCATTATGGGAGTGACAAATGTCTCTTTTTGTTAAATATATAGAGTTTTTTTTAAACCTCTCTGCCACTTGCAGTCAAACCATTCCTGATCCTGACATATTTTTCAGTAGTGCTACACTTTCAGAACATGGTCTAGTGGAATCCTTACAAACAGAATGATGGAATTGCAAAAATAATTATTATTTGCTTTTGGTCTAAAGCATCATTCACACACACTGTCCAATTCCACTTTGACAGAAATACCTAATATCTCTGAGAGTTTTGGACAATTGAAAGTGAAATAACCAAGCAGTAACAGAAACATTGAAACAGGTGAGTGGCAATTGTAGTAGAGGCCAAACTAGAGAATAGAGTGTCCTGGCCATCAGCCAGAGTGTCAAATGAATCGTAGAATCCATACTGTATGGAACAGACCATTCAGCTCATTCAATACATACCAACCCTCTGATGAGCATCCCACCCAGAACCACCCCTCTACCCTATCCATGCATTTCCCATGGCTAATCCACCCTAACCTGCACTTCTTTGGACTGTGGGAGGGAACTGAAGAACCCACGCAGACACAAAGAGAACATGCAAACCATGTAAACAGTTGCCAGGGGGTGGAATCAAACCTGGGTCCCTGGTGCTGTGAGTCAGCAGTGCCAACCACTGAGTCACCATGCCACAACCAGGTGGAAGAACAAGAAACATGTAGCAGATGTGGACAAACAATTGTAAAAAGAGGGAAGCTAAGTAGGAGCCAGTATCATGTAGAGGAATTGAACAGAGGTCTTTCACAAGATATTTAAACAGAACAATCAAAAATAGTGGTTTCTGATACACTTTTAATAGTGCTTAACATATGAGGAACGTTTGAGGACTCTGGGACTATACTCATTGGAGTTTAGAAGGATGAGGGGGGATCTAATTGAAACTTACAGAATACTGAATGGCCTGGACAGGGTGGATGTCGGGAAGATGTTTCCATTGGAAGGAGAGTCTAGGACCCGAGGGCACAGCCTTAGAGTAAAGAAAAGACCTATTAGAACGGAGATAAGGAGAAACTTCTTCAGCCAGAGAATGGTGAATCTGTGGAATTCACTGCCACAGAAGGCTGTGGAGGCCAGGTCATTGAGTACTGAGATAGATAGGTTCTTGATTATCAAGGGGATCAAGGGTTACGGGGAGAAAGCGGGGGATTAGTGTTGAGGAATTTATCAGCCATGATTGAATGGCAGAGCAGACTGGATGGGCCAAATGGCCTAATTTCTACTCCTATATCATATGGTGTTATGGTCTTAAGACTTAATAAGTGACCAGAAAGCAATTCTAATTTGATTTTAAGTTAAATTATTAAACTTTGTACTTAATATTGTACTGTTCAACTTTCCATTAAAGTTGTAAACTACAGACTAATTATAAAATAAACTATGTGTAAATCATTTAGAATATTG